TTCTTGTAAATCCCTTAGGAGTTTGCCGCCTTTATTCTCAGGTTTAAGTCTGTCTAAATTCATGTCACCTGTGATAATGGTTGTTTGTTTCCGTGAGGTGATCCATGAAAAGAGGTTGCTTAATTCATCCTCCAGTACTGAGAAATAATTAGGGCTTGTATGGAGCGGTGGTCGGTACAAGCCGAGCAAAACCACTAGCGAATTTTCCAGCTTTACTTCAAGGACTAGTGGTTCAATGGTCTTGTAATTTACTTTCGGTTTAAGTCCCCTTGCTGGAATTTTAGATGACGCATCAGGACAACGACACCCCGTCCTCCTTTCTTTCTGTCATTACGAAACATCCGACAATTTTGCATTCTAAACTGGCTATCGGGATACGTGGAGTCGACCTTTGTCTCAGTCAAGACGATTATGCTCGCTTTAATTTTGTCATTAACAAATTTCAATTCCTCAAACTTGTTCTGCCGCTGTTAATATTTTGGTGAATCAATAGATTCAATAGAAGACACGTTTTCCGAATAGAGACGATGTCTTGTACGGGATCTCGTTGTTCTTCTATATTAGATGTAGTGGCCGTAAGTGAATTGTAATTCCATTCGTTTAACTGGCCTTCAGAACCGGTAGGGCTGCTACAATGGAACGGAAGAATCTTCCAAACACAAGCAGTACATGACCATGACCTATTTTGGTTTCTTATCTACTTGAATTGATTCGGAGTTACATTTATAGCGCACTGTATGTGGCACTGCAATTTGCATTCACAGCACTCGAAGAATCTGTGATTTCGGGCGATGGTTCTTCTGCAAGCGTAGCACTCCGGGCCAGGATTTGGGTTAATATCCCCAGATGTGGCGATTCTCGTAAGTTGAAAGCTTAAGCCTCGATGGTAGGATAGTATTTCAGTCTAGAGGAAAGGAAGTGTTTTCTCCGTGGCCGAGAACCAAGATGGCTGACACGGTGACCGTGGGCAGTACATATTTTAACATATTATGCTAGTAATACAGTATATATACTGTAAGGTTTTAAGCCATTAACACCGTCGAACTTATACAACCACTAAAATACCGACGCTAATAATACGCCATTAGATATTGGCCTAAAATGTTACAGTATGTAATGAGAGTGGTTCCAAATTAAGCCGTTAGTTATTGGCCTAAAATGTTACAGTATGTAATAAGTGTGGTCCCAAATTAAGCCGTTAGTTATTAGCCTAAAATGTTACCGTATGAAATGAGAGTGGTTCCAAATTAAGCCGTTAGTTATTGGCCTAAAATGTTACAGTATGTAATTAGAGTGGTTCCGAATTAAGCCGTTAGTTATTGGCCTAAAATGCTACAGTATGTAATAAGTGTGGTTCCAAATTAAGCCGTTAGTTAATGGCCTAAAATGTTACA